TCTCCAGCCCCTTCCCGGCTCTGTTCCCTGCCCTGGACTCACTGCAGCCCCTCAGGGTCTGTTGGAAGTGAGGGCCTGGGTTAAGAGAACTGACCCCAAGATCTGAGGTCAAGATCTGAGGTGAGGCCTCATCAGTGCCCAGCACAGCTACAGCCCCTTCTCCCAAGAAATCAGTGCTCCAGCAGCTCCTGGAATCCTGCCTGTGCACATGCAGGTGGGCAAACAAGGCCTGCTGGCACAAAAACACACCTCAAACACACCTCCCTTGAGGTACCTGCACACCTACAGGGAGCCAGGGCTCATCTCCAGCTGTTTCCCAGCAAGAGGATTTGTCTGCTTCAGGATTTATGTTCTTAAATGCATGTTATAATAAAACTGTAAGTCATCTACTAGGTGTAGCTACAGGCTTCTCCCAGGAAACTCATTGTTTGGGAATAATGACACTGGCCTTCCTCTGGGCAGTGATTTGGAGGTTAATTTAGGAAGCTGGGTAGGCACTCAATTAACACTCAATTGCTTTTAGCAGAACAGCAGGAGTCTCCCATTCCACAGGATTTGGCTTTCCCACACTGAACCAACACTGAAACAGGCCTGGATTATTAACAATAAGTTCCCTCTTCCCTCTGTCCAATCCTTATCACATCTCAGGATTCCTCTGGCTTATTTCTGAGCAAATCATCAGCTGGAGTGTCCCCCAAATAACTCCCAGTTCCAGTGTGTAAACAAGTGACAGATGGAATCAGGCAGGAAGAAAACAATAACAGGGAAATGTTACTCAGGCCTTTGGAATGACAAGAGGTTTATTTGTGGGGCTTTTCTGAACTGTTCATGTTAAAACTTGGAGGAAGATGTTGAGTCAGAAATCCCCAAAGTGTCCCAACTCCAAACAGAGCTGGAAAGGCAGGGAGATATTACAGATTTATATATATGGATTAAAAAAGGATGGAAACAATGTGTGTGATACACACTGAAGGTGACAGCATAGCAAAGAGGGATAAGGAAGTGCTTTCAAGGAAAGATTTGTAGCTGCTGCTGCTGAGTTGCTTCAGGGGGAACTGGAGGAGCAACAGGGAGAAGCAGAAGCAGGAATAGAGCGAGTGGGAAAAATCCTCCCCAAGTCTGCTGCTTTCATTCTAGCAGGATTTGCTGGAATGAAGGTGGCAGGATAAACAGATCTGTAGCTGGATTTGGAACTCTGCCCTTAGGAAAGCGCTGTGCCAGTTGTAGGGAATGCTCCTGCCCATCCTGGCTGGAAGCATCCCTCAGCTGCCTTCCAGTGCCTAAAGCCACTACAGACACAGCTGGAATTCCCAATTCCAAACTCCTACCACCGCACCAGTCCCAGCAATTCTCCACCTTCGTGTTCTGTTTGAATTTACAGACCACAATTAAACACAGCCCATCTCCTTATCAGAAACACAAGTGTCCTCTTTATCACAGCTTCTCAGACACCACACACAGGGACTTGGAATTCTCCAGCAGAAATGGATCACGTTACTCTTGAAACGGGTATTAACAATAGAGATTAAAACTAGCCATGAAGGTCAAGCTGATCCCCCCAGGCTGACTTATTTGTTAACAGTATAAAATATCTCCCAAATAAAAATGTTTTGAAGAGTGCTGGCAGTGACATTCAATATTTACAAATTTCAGAGCGGCACAAGGATCAGATTCCACCTCTGACACTGACACTGCTGTGGACAGAGCACTTGAAGAGGAGCAGCTGAGAACAACTCTCTGGAGAACAACTCTCTGAAACTCCAGAGCCACAGCATTTAAAAGAAAGGGGAGAAAATTACTGGTTTTTGTAGCCTGGGGAAATATCAAAAACTGCTCTGCCAACAACCAAAGGAACTGCTCAGCATCCCTCAAAGCAAACAGGTGACAGCTCAGACATCCTAAAAAAGAAGAGATCTTTCAAATACGGTGGGGTCTTGGACACAGAGCAACACCCGGTCAGAGGCACCGTGCTGGTACTGGAGCTAACACTGCTCATTCATATTATGAAAATCATGGAATTACCGAATGGTTTGGGCTGGAAGGGACCTTAAAGCTCATCCAGTGCCATCATCCCAGCCTGCTCCAAGCCCCATCCAAGCTTGGACACTTCCAGGGATCCAGGGACAGCCCCAGCTGCTCTGGGCACCCTGTGCCAGGGCCTGCCCACCCTGCCAGGGAACAATTCCTGCCCAATATCCCACCTATCCCTGTCCTCAGTGGAAGCCATCTCCCTCGTCCTGTCATTCCATGCCCTGTCCACAGACCTTCCTAAAGGGGATTCGCACACGCTTATAAAACTCCCTACGAATTCCCTATTTCCCGCTTCAGCATCCGCATCTCTCGCCCCACCGGGACGCGGCCCCGAGCCCCGGATCCCGCGGTGTGTCCCGCTCACCGTGACTGTCCTTCTGGGCGATGCCCTGGGTGCGGATGAGCGCCGAGAGCCGCCGCACGTCCCCCTTGAACACGCACTCGTGCACGGGGAAGGGGCCGCGCTCGGGCCCGGCGGGGGCGGCCCGGGCGCTTGCGGAGCGGCCGCACGTGGCGGTGTGGGTGCTCGGGCTCCCGCTGTGTCCCGGCCCGGGGTGCTCTCAGGGGTCGGGGCTGTGTCGGGGCTTGGGGTTCATCTCGGAGATGGAGCCCCCTGTGGGATCGGGGATGTGTCCAGGAGCGGGGTTCTCGGGGATTGCGGCCACCTCCGGGTTCGGGCCTGTGTTAGGCTTGGCCTGGTTCTTTCCTGCAGTCTGTGTGAGGGCAGTAATGTCATGTGAGAAACGTCTCAACAATCCCTGAGGGTTATTGAGGTGGTCAGCAGAGGCGTTTTCCCATTTTAGTAATCACAGTTTTGTTCCAAACTTCGCAGAACCCCAGAGTGGTTTGGGTGGGAAGGGAGCTCAGAGCCCATCCAGAGCCAGCCCTGCCATGGCAGGGACACCTTCCCCTGTCCCAGGCTGCTCCAAGCCCATCCAGCCTGGCCTTGGGCACTGCCAGGGATCCAGGGGAGGATCTGCCTCTGCCCCTCCTGGCCAGCCCCTCCTTGTTGCCCAGCATTTGGCATCCTCTGCTGGCTGGACTGGCTGGACTTAGAGCAGGTTTTGTTGCTTTGGTTATGAGCAGGAGATTGTTTTGCCTCTAACTTTGATTGCCGGAACAGAGCTAACCCTGTGATTTGGCACCGGGTGCCTTGCACATGAATGAAGGTGGGGAGGGAGGATGGTGGGATGTGTTCTCTGGGCTGGACTGCTGTGCTCTGTGTCCTGGGGAAGATGGGGATGAAGGAGGGCAATAACCACATGAAATTTATGTATTTGTGTGGCTTGTATATGTAGCGGGAGAGCAAAGTGTGTCTGAATTGGAGTTTTAGTCTGCAAGCATGGAGTGAGTGAAGGCACTGCAGCTTTGCAGAGTCCTCCACACAAAGGACTCAGAGACCTTCCTGCATCCTTGGGAGGGCTTGGATGGGCTTAGTCTGTGTTCTGCTTCATGCAGGAACCTCTCCCTCTTGCAGGAAACTTTTTGTGTGCCTTTCCTGCACTTTTCAAAGTTCCTGTTCCCCTGGGCAGTGCACTGTTGTTACAGATCATGAGGAGCTTCCCAGGGCTCCTTCCAGACTGGAATTTAGTTCCCTTTCAGACACCACTTCCCTTTTTGTTTCCTCCCCCAACACAGCTACAGTTGCTAAAGTGATTGACAGATTTGAGGATGAAACCACAGATGATATTCTGCCTGTTGGCAATATCAGGAAAAGAGCTTCAGCCTCTCTCCTGGAAGCTGATAAGAGGTACAGTGGGAAAGCCACATCTCGGAAAGCTCTGCAGGAAGAGCTCTGGGGAGATGCTCTGTCTGAAGAAGGATCTGGTAAGAAATCTCTTTTTTTTTCCCCCTTTTTGCTGTCAAACCATGATGTCAGCACATGACTGAGCATGGCAAACCTCAGGGCCCTGTTCCAGGGCGAGAACAGCTACAATTAAGTTGGACATCAAACAGCCCAAACCTGAGCTGTTGCTGATGAGTTTTTCTGCTAAGTAAATAACTTTTTTCTCTCCTTTATTAGCTGAAGAAGCATTAGATGACTGGTACAGTGACAGTGAAGGCTCAGAAGAGGAGGACAATGTTGGCCCAAAGGCCAGGGAGAAGCCCAGCAGTGCTGGCAGTGAGCAGGAAGATGATGAAGAGGATAAGGAAGAGGAGGAGCTGCCTATCAAGGCCAAGGCACCAAAGTTCAGCTTCCAGAATATCACAGACTTTGAGAAGTTTACAGAGGGGATGGATGATGCAGGGAGCAGTGAAGGGGAGGATGAAGATGAGGATGAGGATAAAGATGATGCTGACATGGAAGAAGGGAGTGAGAAGGAGGAGGAATTTGGGAGTGAAGACCACGATGACGAAAAAGAAACCAAAGACAGCGAAGATGATGGGGGAGTGCTGACCTTCTCCAGAGGACAGGAGTCTGAAGAGGTGGAGAAGGGCAAAGCTGTGAGGAACCAGCTAGGTTTGTGCATGTTTGCTGTGTGTTTGCTGGTACTGTGAAACCAGCCATGCTGGGAAACCCCTCAGCACGGTGAGGTGCTGTCAGCACCCTGCTTGTGCATGCTGCAGCATCCCCGTGTGTGTGCAGATGTTCTGTCTGGTGTCACTGCTGCTGTAGCAGCTCATGATGTGAAGTGTATTTATCCATTAGCTTCACTGAACCAGTGCTGAATATCCTCAGGGGACCCTTGGGTTTGGGAACTTCCTGTGCTGGTCCTGCTGTGATCACTTCGTTTCTTTGCAAAACACAACTCCCAAAATGCCATTCCTTCCTGTCTGAGCTGTTAAACTATCAAACTTCTGTTTGCAGGCTGTCCTTTGAAACAGCGAAGCAAAGGGATGGTTTGATCTGTGGGTCACAGAGGTGCAGTTGGGATTTGCTTTGTCCAGAGACACTTTGTGGCACCCATGTTGTGCTGGTCAGTGCCTGCCCTGAGCAGGAGCGATGCAGCCCAGAGCAGAGGGCCTGAGCTGTCAGGTCCTTCACCAGGAACAAGTGCTTTGTCTTGCTAACTGATTCTTTTATTTCCTTTTTGTTGTGAAGCCCTGTGGGATCAGCTGATGGAAGGGAGGATCAAGATGCAGAAGGTGCTCATGACAGCCAACAGGCTGCCCCAGCCAGACACCTACCCCAGGTTCAGGAAGGAGGGGGGCCAGGACTTTGACAACGCTGTGGAGAACTGTAAGTGATGCCTTGAGAAGGCTGACCTAGAACAGAGTTAAGAGTAAAGTGGGTGTTTATTGAATGGCCTTAAAGGACACACCTTGGGCAGTACAAGAGCCTGGCCAGGGCTGCACCCAAGATCGACCAAAAATGGTCACAAAATGGACACAACTGGTCATGAGGTCTCACATTTTTATAAGTTTTGGTCCATCTGCGTATTTGAGTTAATTGTCCAGTTACAGCTTCAGGTTATGAAGTCCCATCCTGCTTGTTTTCTCTCTTCAGCCCACCCTTGTTTCTGCTTTTGGGCCTGAAACTTGTCATGATTGTCCTTGGTACCAAGCTAGAAAAGGAATTGTTTTGTCTCCCTACTCTGTAAAGGGAGCTCACTGGCACTTAACATGAAGCTCAAAACTACACACCTAGGCAGGGCAGAATCTGAAAAACAGGAAAGCTAAAACTTTAAGGCACCATAAGAGCCTTTTAATCTTTCTCCTTTGCTCAGACTCTTATAAACAATTGCTTATTGCTGTTCAGTGCAGAGCTGGAGTGCTCTGTCCAGAGATACCTTGTATCAGTTTTGTGCTGGGCCATTGAATGCAAAGCTTTGCCCAAAGGAGGAGTAAGGCAGCCCAAAGGAGGGTCTGTGCAGGTGAATTCCAGCATGGAGCTGATTCATCTGTTTATTCCTGAGATCACTGATCTGATGAGATCTGTAGTAAATTCTCCCATATGAAATCATAATATGCAGGCTCCAGTTGGTAAATGCAAGGTACTGGGCTTCCAGGTGGTGTGGGTCTGTTCAGTTTTTATATTTGGACACCTTTTTCCTGGCCTTGAGGTGAATGCATGGGGAGGGAGATGTGTGGGTCATCAGACATGACCCTGAACCTTGGCCCTGCAGCAGGTTTTGGCTGGGATCCTCTGCCTTACCCCTGCCCAGGACAGGGCAGTCAGCCCACCTGCAGCTACAGGTGAGCTGCTTTCTGCTTTAAAGTTGGCTCTGCTGCTTTAAATGAAGTGATTAAGGACAAAAAGGCAAACTCCCACCAATGCTGTGCTGACCTTTCAGTGGAACACACGTTATTAATGTCCCTAATGAGATGCATTACAAACTGCCCCAGCTCCATGTTTCATTACAGGTCTAAGATGCAATATCATTAAAGACCTTTAACAGAAACAATGCTTGACATTTTGGTATTTCCCATAAGCAAAATACACCCAAGAACATGGAGTGTAATGTCCCCAGTGCTGCAGAGGCTGATCCCTGACTTGTGCAGAGCTCTGAGGGAAACTCCACTGCTAAGAACTGCTGAATGATCCCCTCATCACCTTCCCCTCATCACCTGGGCAGGGAGTTGTGGGAGCTCTGATGTTCCTCACAGCTTGTGTTTGTGCTTCATCTGTGGAGACAGAGCATAAAGCTGGAGTGACTGTTAGCAGAGGAAATCTCAGGCTGACAGATGGGAAATACTGAATTTAGGAACATCCCACTACTGCTGCTACACTTGTCTGTGATGAGCTTCAGCCTTTGACAGAATTTGGGATCATCATGGCATGGACATTGTTTTGGCCTGGATGATGCTCTCCTTTCAGGGAGGCCCCAGCACTTCTCTCCAAACCCACAAAATAAATCTGGCATGTTTTCATCATCCTCATTGAACAGGAGGGAACAATTTGGTGTTCCAGTTGCACAAAAGACTTGGTGCCAAAATCCCAGATTCTGGGTGAACCCTGCAGGATGCTGAAGTCACAAGGTTCCCAGTGCTCTCAGAGCTCCTGGACCAGAGTGTTTCCAGTAATTTTTCTCAAATCTTTCCATTTCTCATGAAATTTCTGCTCTGTGCTCAGAGGAAGATTGAATTTTTTGAATTGGAAAATGGTCCTTTGTGTATTTTTCTCTTGGGTATCTCCTACTGAGGACAACCCTGTTGTGGTGCTGGAATTCCCTAGGGGCTGGAGTGTAATTGTGTTAAAGAGTAGACAGCAATTCTCCATCCATTTGCAGTTTTAAAGCCAAACCTGGGTGAAAATGGCAAGGTCATGCTCATTTTCCAGGTTTTGAGACCCAAGGTTACAAACCCTAAAGTGTTTAATTTATTATTTTTGTAATCTTTTATGATTTTTTTTTTTTAAATGTTACAACGTGCTTTGGACAATCTTAGATTCCTGAGATCTCAGGTTCTGGTAGATGATTTACTGCAAAATTGCTTATAAATTGAAGTAGAAAATGTTTTGCAGACCTGGCAGCTTTCAGGCTTCACACCCATTTGTCACCCAGCATTTCCCTTTGTGTATAGAACAAGAATTAATTAGGCTGCACTGCAGGAAAAGTTTATGGCCATAATTTATATAGGATGAATTTCTGTTTAAAGAGACAGCATTGCTTTGTTTGTGCTGTCTTACTTTTTATTTCCCTTTTTTTTTTTTTTTTTTAAATCTTTAATTATATTTGAGATTTTTTTCTGTCATCCTTTTTACATACAAATGGGAGACCAAACTGTGGTCCTGGAGCTCATGTTTATTCCTGTTTTGCACCCACTGAGAAAGTCTGGATGGTTTTTAGTGCTGAGATCAGAGTGGCTGAGCTCTGAAAGCAGCACAAATGTCCAGGGTTTAATGCCCTGCACACACAAACCCTCCCAGCTCACAATTCCAAGGTGCTGCTGCCTGGGCTGGGCTCTTTCTCCAAGACAGATTTGTATTCCCCTGCACTGCATCTTCCAGTCTGGCCCAGGGCTTGAGATGTTGCCTCTGTTTGGGGTCTTGCACGTTCAATTAATGTTTTTCATAATCAATGCGAGTCAGAATTTGCAATCTGCTCCTGATTTGCACATTAAAGAGACCCATTAATTAAAAATTCCAATCCCTGGCATGTTCCCGCAGGATCCCTGCATTATTTACATAGAAAAGGAGTGCAAGGTGCAAGTTTCTGTGCTGTGGCTGTGCACAGATTGCAGGCCTGCCACTCATATTTCCCTGTGCTGGGAGCTTGGAAGGGGATCTCCTGAAATTGTCTCCAAAAATCACCTCAAGGGCAAGGAAGAACCAAAGCAGAGGTGGGATAAACATTGGTAAAGCCACATCCAGTGTCAGGAATTCAACAGTTCCAGGGTTTGGGGCTTGTTGTGTTAAATCTTGATAGAGTGAAAAAAAAAAACCCCACAGATAATCGAGGGACAAGGAGGTAACAAGGGCTTTAAGGAATTAAATCTCTTCATCCTCAAAGGTCCTGAGCTTCTCAGTACAGGCCTGTAGCTTTTTCTTTCTAATTCTAGGTAAAAATACTAAACTGGGAACATTTCGGTGACTAATAGTTTATGCTTTTCAAAAAGAGCTGGGAATTGCAGCTTTTAAAGAGCAGATTGTGTTATTTTCACTTTATAATTGGTGAGTTAAGAATGTACAAAAACCCAGGTGAGGAAGGCTTTTTTTGCCAGAAACTGATGGAAATTGCAGGAGTTTAAAGGGACAAGTGGCTGTGCTTTTCCTTCTGCAAGAGTTCAGGAGGTCCCTGAAATAGAAACTGCTCACTGCATTTTTGTGGGATTTTGGAGTTTTTTTGGCTTTGACTCCATCTGTCAGTGGATTAAGAGAAAATACCAGAATCCCACATTTCTATTCCTCAGCATAAGCTGCAGATAATTTCAAGAAATAGAGGAAATTGTGGGTTTGGTAGAAGTAGATATGCAGGGTGTGTGGGGATGGATTTGCTCAGTGGAGGAACAAAAGTGGGGACAACAAATATTTACACTTTGGAAAGCTGTGGTGAAGTTCCACCAAGGTTTGTGATCAGTAATAAAATAAACCTGAATAAAGTGAATCAGATAAACAAAAAAAACAAACCACAGGGCTTTGTTGCCTTCTGGGAAATTAAGACATTGAGTTTTTATTCCTAAAATTTTGAGTGACCCAGAAATGGCTGTTTCTGGAGTGGAAATTTGTGGTGGGAGAGAATTGTGCTCCCATCTGGAATAATTCCCTGAGCTGGGCACAGCAGGCTGAGTACCTGGTCCCATGGCAAATTCTGTGACTTGGGACTCAACAGCACATTTAGACCCCTCTCTCTGGGAGCTTCACACTGGGTATCTTCATTTTCTTCTGGGTTGGTTCTGCAGTATTTTGACATTTGAGAGAAATATTCTGTTTAGTCTCAGTTAGTGTATGAGTATGTTCTCAGTGTCTTTTTAATGAGGATTTTTGTTGGGCTCTCTCAATCTCCATCTTTAAAATAATATTTTTACATCCTCCACAAAATCCAGGTAAGTCATGTTGAAGACACTGATTAAGCAGGGACTGATTTTGGATAAAATCCCATCTGCTGTAGGTGCCAGAGAAGCTGTTCCACTTCCTGGGAGAGAGGATGTGCCTGGCAAGGCCTTCCCCTCTCCCCCTCACCTGGACACACCCGGGTAGGGAATGACTCTCTGATGAAATGGGATTTACTGACACAGGCTTGGAATTTTTAAGGGAAGCCTGCAGGACTCAGCTGCCAAGAACTCCCTGGTAATTTTGTTCTCACCTCTATTCCTGGATAGCTTTTAGAGCTCCAGTATATCCACACCTCCATCTGGAGATGTTAATGCATTCATACAGAGCAGGGTGAGTGTCACAAGGAGGGGGAGGAACTGAGGCACAGGCAGATTACACACTTTCCAGAGGCATAGAGCAGTTACAGGATTAATTGGTGCTAGGCAAGATCATGGACTTAAATATATTCTTGCTTTGAAGATTTTACTGGGAGCCTGCACAAATGTGTGACAGCAGAACTGGGTTTCAAGCCTGAGTGTAAATTATTGTGATCAGATCTAGCCCACTTAAAACTGGTAGTTCATTTTAATTGAATTGTATTAGTCTGGACACTTTATGAATACCAAAAGCATCGGCCCTGACAATTCCTGCAGGGTTGGTTGTGATTTAAATGGATGTGGATGCAGGTGTCCCCAAATTTCTCCTCTCTGATCTCATGGAGAATCTGTTCAACTCTTTTTGGGACTGAGCCAAAGCCTGTTGACATT